GTTCTATCTGAAATCCTGGATAATCAATAATTTCCCTATCTTAATGTCAGCCGATGAGCAAGCTTAATTCAATCAGCTACCTTAATTCCCCTTCACCATGTCATATAATATGAACTTGGACATCGCTGAGGGAACACTATTCTGTCTACCACAGTAGCCAAGACTGGTTAAGATCTCTGCCCTGGTGGACATTGTATTTTAATGAGGGGAGACATTAACAAATATAGAAACATGTCATACATTTTTAAGAATAGATAAATACTTGAATAGAGCAGGGTTAGTGGAAAGAGATTAATGGGGATTGAGAGTTATAAAAAGTAAACTATCTTATCTCCATTTTATAAACGATAAGCTAAGACCAAGAAGTGAGGCACTTTTCCCGGTGTTCGTGTGGCATTCACATCCCAGTCCCCAAATCTCATTGCTCTTTCCATGATTCGGCTCTCTCTCCACATTTACCCACCTGTCAGATTAGGATGGAGGTGAATCTACCCGTGTTACTCCCAATTCTGCCTGCAGTACCTGACATAGTGTCTGGGATATAACAAAACCTCACTACTTACATGTTATTGGTATTGATACTCTTCTTAGGCATTCTCATCGCCTGTTTTTCATTGCTTCACTGAACCAATAAGACAATTATTCTGCAGGGAATACTCAGAAGTTTCCCTGGAAAAAAATTTCTGTGAGAGATAAAGCACTACAAAGATCCATAACCTATAATATTCCCCTCATTTATCTATGGATTTTTTAATGCTTTCTACAGGTGGGTCAGAATCATGGATGAAATATCAGCAAGCAAAGGATGTGCCCTCAAAGAAAACAAACAAGGGAAGTTACTCAAAAGTTGTGACCAAAAAGGGGAGCCTGTGTGGCTCAGTTGGTTATGCATCCAACTTCGACTTGGGTCATGATCTTGGGGTGAGTGTGAGCCCCACGTCAGGCAATCAGCACAGAGCTTGCTTGGGATCTTCTGCCTCTCCCCTGCTTTCTCTCTCTCTCTCCCTCAAAAATAAATAAACATTAAATTTTTTAAAAAATTTAAAAAGTTGTGACCAAATGGCCCATAGAATCATTAGGCCATTTTTTTTTTTAATTTTTTTTTCAACGTTTATTATTTTTTGGGACAGAGAGAGACAGAGCATGAACGGGGGAGGGGCAGAGAGAGAGGGAGACACAGAATCGGAAACAGGCTCCAGGCTCTGAGCCATCAGCCCAGAGCCTGACGCGGGGCCCAAACTCACGGACCGCGAGATCGTGACCTGGCTGAAGTCGGACGCTTAACCGACTGCGCCACCCAGGCGCCCCATTAGGCCATTTTTAATAGCAGGGCATTTCTTTGAAGGAGACGATAGTGCTCAAGAACCGGATTGCCTAATTGAGGGAGTAATAATTTTCTTCACTTTCTTGATATGTTTCTAAGTCATACCACTGCTTTGAAGAAAAATCCACTGATTCCTTGTTACCTAAAACAATCCAAAACCCCTGTCATCACATTAAAATCCCCTCACAATCTGGATCCAATCTGTCATTCCAGTTTCATTTTCTGCCACCCTGTATACTATTGTAGACTACCATTTTGCATCACAAGTGTTTTCAATTTTTAGGGAGTTCTTTGCATTCCATACTTCCCTAGAGTGTATGTTTCATAAAAGCAAGGACAATGACATGTATTTTTATAGTGTTGGTGCTTACACAGATGTAGGCATATAATAGGAATCAATAAATGAACTATAATAAGCTAAATAAATAAGTATTTATTTATAGTAAATAAAATAGTAAATAAATGAATAGATATAATTTTGACTATTCAGTAATTCTGTTCTTCTTAGATCTATAATTGCATTTATGTCTAGTAAAAATACGGAGCACTTCCTTTATTTTTAGTGCTGAATTAGCTCAGGCATTTCCTAGTTTTTAGATTCCAGGCATTAGCTTGACTGGGTCTCATGGTGGATGACTCTAAGGAAACTTTGGGGCTGTATGTGCCCATCTCCTGATCAGCCATTTGCTTTGGTACATTAGGACTTTAATAGAAACTGCCTAATGTGCAGGTAAAGTCAGCAAGAAATGAAATATAGGTCATTACTCAGTGGTATCAATTGAGCAGAGCAGCAAAATGTAAATCACCGAGAAATGGGGATGGTTCGTGCCATTTTGCACTTTGGAGTATGTCTGAGGACTTCCCGTGGCTGAGAGGTCCCAGGGTCCACTTTAGAAAGCTAAGGAGCAAATCTCTTCCCTGTAAGGGTCAACCTAATACCAGCAACTCCATACTCTAAAAAAGGGAAGTGAAGACATTGTATTTTTTCCCCTATTCACTGCAATTGTCTAGCCCTATCCTTTATGTACATACATTACAGTATGTGACCTTAAGCTTGCCACTCACGTCTCCACACCTCAGCTATTTAATTTATTCAATGAAAATGACATCTATCCTCCCTACTTGGGCATGATTATTTTAGAGCCTTAAATAAAATACACAAAAGGATTTGGGTAGCAGACCTTATTGCCTCACCCATAACTCTAGCATCTTCCCATATCTGAAACTCTGAAAACACTGGCTTCTTTTTTTTTCCCCCGGAAACCATGGAAAACCTCACTATCTATGTGCTCATGTGTGTGCATACACAGAACAGGGAGGATACTGAGGAACTAACAGCTCCAGGAGCAACTCTCAACCTTTGGCTCTCTAGAATTAATATATAAATACTCTAGTTGCCTTATACTTCAGATTGCCTAATTATGACGTCTGTGTTTTGTATCAATTTCCAGAGTCCAAGTAGGATTTAGCTCAACTTGTATGCTATGTCAGCTGGCTTAATAGCACACCTTCCACTGGCTGCTTTCCATGCCTTTTATCATGTCTCCACCTGTGTTATCTGAACTGCTCAAGCATACTACTGACAAATGAATCCTTGTCTCAAGATCGCTAATAAGGAGAACCCAAATGACAGCCTACACATTGCAAAGAGCCACCTGAATGGGGAATGATGATGTTATTATTTTGATAAATTAGAAACATAAAGCTGAAGAACTTTTAGTGTTTGGGGCTTTCCGGGGCGCAGAAGGAATGGATAAGTGAAGGGATCTGGGTGATAGCCTGAGGCAGGGTTAGAAATAGAGCAAGGCAGTGTTTGGCTGAGCCCAAGGATTAGCCTACGGGCAGAGCATCAGACTTCAGCGCAGAAAAAACACTTTTGAAACCCAGTAATGGTCTCTAGGTTCATAAATATATTTCCAGCAAAGGAAGGCGTGGTAGCAAATTGCACCTCAGACACATTCCAATATGTGGGAACATCCAGAGCCTAGAACTTTAGCCCTAAAAGGGATCTTACCAGCTCATACCAATTCACCTTTATAACCTGTTTTTCTGACACTTCCAACAGATTGATTTATAAAATGCCCCCGGAAAAAAATCAATCAATAATGATAGTACTAGATTATTACCCATACATTAAAATAAGAAGCCACGAGTTCATACTGATTAAAAAATTGAAAGAATGAATAAATGGTAGGTAATGTATGGTTCTGCTGAAAGCAGAATTCTAACTAATAAATTTAGAATATACAAAATACAATAGTCGCTTCAGTAAGGAATCATTTATGGATGCTAGGCAAAGCGTGATGAGAAATAAAATATTTACATAATTCCAAAGCATCTCCCCACATGATACTAAATACAAAAAGAAAGATAATAATTTACAGTGTAGAAATCTGGCAGATATCACCTTAGCTTCACCAGTAGTAAGACCTATGGGCATCATGAGTGTGAGATAAGCATGATGTCACAAGAAGGCACAGCAGAATTTTTGTGGCATTCTTAGCACAAATACATAGTCCTGAGAAAACATCAGACTAAAGCAAGAAGTACTTTACAAATTAACACTCCAGTACTCTGGAGAAATATCAAGGTTATGAAAGACAAAGGTCAATGAAAGAACCTTTCCAGATTAAAGGAAAATAGGAATCCAGGACAACAAAATGAATCCTCATCTTACATTAGATCCTGGGGCAGTACAAGAACATTGGTGGGTCAGTTGGCAAAACCAGTCTGTAGATCTAAATATTAATATTGTTATCAAGATTAATTTCCTGACTTTAATTATTAATTCTAGTTATATTTTAAAGAATCTAGGTAAAGGGTATAAGGGATTCTTTGTACTAGTTTTACAATTTTTTTTTTAATGTGTGTTTATTTTGAGAGAGAGAGAGAGAGAGAGAGAGAAGAGAGTGAATCCCAACCAGGCTCTGTCAGCACAGAGCCGGATTCAGGGCTTGAACTCACGAACTGTGAGATCATGACCTGAGCTGAAATCAGGAGTTGAATGCTTAACTGACTGAGCCACCCAGGTGCCCTCAATTCTCTTGAAGTCTAAAATTATTTCAAAATTACAAAAAAAAAAAACCCAAAAACTTCTAAAATACCACAGGCATATTCACTCAAGGTGATCCATACATTCATTAATCAGAAACATGTCAGCTCCAAATCTCAAAACTAAGGACCAAAGTTTAGAAATCATATATTATATAAATTAAACTTTGATATTAAATCAGAAACTGTTTCATAAAAATATTGTTGTCATTTGCTTTTTAAAAAATGCTTGTTTTATAGGAACACATTGGTGATGAGGACTCACAAAACCAATGTTTCTGTCTCTACCACTTGAGTATATATCATTGGATGTCTCTGTGTCCATTTCTTTCTCTGAAAAAAATAGAGATAATAATCATCTGCCCTCTGAGATCTTGCAAGCAATCGTAACAAAGAAAATCAAAGCAATTATAATGAAAACACTTGAAAACAGCCCTTGCTATCCTCTGTATACTCAGGTTCAATATTCCATTCTGAATTGAATATGTAAAAAAAAAAAAAAAGTATTTTCCTCTGAAAGTGAATTATTTTGAAATATGATTACATTTTTCAACAGGTTTCTTTTTATTGAAATTGGATTTTTTTAAACCCCAAACCTTTTCAGTTCTCAAGAGGCTGCCTTTTAATTATATCATCCCCTGATCTGGAGTCTTATTATTTGTTTAAATGTTATTGTTTGGACTTGAATTGATCGCTTCTGTTCAATTTCAGGGTGAGCATTTGCTGCAACACAGGGTGAATTTTTACTTCTATTGCCTTGAGGACATTCATTGGAAACATCATGTTGCACTTGATGGAGACTCTCCTGATGAAAAGGTTCACAAAAAAGAACAAATTAATTTTTGGTAACAATCAGTGGTACCATCCAATGCATTTTCCCATTTCCTTTACTTTTCATTCTCTTTCTTATTGTGCTCTAGCTTCCTGATTCTCTTCATGGAGAAAATACACTGTAATTTATTTCAAAAGAACTCCTATGGCTGCCTCCTGGTCTTAATTAAAACAGGGACCGTAGTTTATCTGGACTCCTAATCTAGCTACGAATGCTCAACAAAGAGCCTCAGAACCAGAGCTCAAACCACAGAAAAAAAAAATCAATCAAGAGGACTCTGTCCTGTTGCTAAAGAGAAATGGGACCCTCTGGCTCTGAGGAGACAATCCGCTATTCCAGTCAACTTCCTTTTCCTTTTTCTTTTTCTTCTCCAATGTTCTTTTCTTGGCTTTTAAATTGTATATTTACGTGTAATATATAATTTTAATTTTATATACACACACACTAATTTGAGATTTGTTTTCTTTGTTGTGTTGTGTCATTTCGACACAAAAGGTGTATTATAAATCCACTTGGAATGGCTAAATTATTTGTGAGTTTATTGTACAACAACTTTTCACTGCTCTTAGTCTTATTTAGCACCTAGGGGACTTCCTTTATAGTGCATGGAGATTGTAGAAATAAAATGCAGTGTTGTTATGACATTGTTCAGCATTGAATACATCAAGAACAGCCAAGCTGACCTGAAATGGCCAATTTGCCCGGCTCAGTTTGTCAGAGTGTTTTTGCAGGTTGCAAATTATCCGTTCAACTCAGAAAGCGTGTTTTCTCTCACAAATACGTGTTTGGTATCCCTATGCATTATTAACTATATGCCAAGTATTATTCTCCCTAAATTTTAGCTGCAAGACAATCAAATGACCTATGTTTTTGAAGAGTTTTCAATAAAAGGAAGCGACTATGAATTAAGAATATAAAGTCTAGCCTCTTTTTTTAATGAGTATAATTTATTGTCAGATTGGCTTACATACAACATCCAGTGCTTATCCCAACAAGTGCCCTCCTCAATGCCGGTTACCCATTTTCCCTCTCCCCCAGGCCCCATCCACCCTCAGTTTGTCCTCTGTATTTCATAGTCTCTTATGGTTTTCCTCCCTCCATCTCTGTTTGTCTCTATTTTTCCCCTTCCCTTCCCGCATGGTGTTCTGTTCAGTTTCTCAGGATCCACATATGAGTGGAAACATAGAATGTCTGTCCTTCTCTGACTGACTTCTTTCATTCAGCATAATACCTTCCAGTTCTCTACATGTTACTGCAAATGGCAGGATTTCATTCTTCCTCGCTGCCAAATAGTATTCCATTGAATATATAAACCACATCTTTATCCATTCATCAGTTGATGGACATTTAGACTCTTTCCATAATTTGGCTATTGTTGAAAGCACTGCTATAAACATTGGGGTACATGTGCCCCTGTGCATCAGCACTCCTGTATCTCTTGGGTAAATTCCTAGTATTGCTATTGCTGGGTCACAGGGTAGGTCTATTTTTAATTTTTTGAGGAACCTCCACACTGTTTTCCAGAATGGCTGCAACAGTCTGCATTCCCACCAGCAGTGCAAGAGGGTTTCCATTTCTCCACATCCTTGCCAGCATCTGTAGCTTCCTAATTTGTTCCTTTTAGCCACTCTGACCGGTGTGATAGCCTCTTACTATAACAAAGGGAGCACGTTATCATCTCCAGTGCACCCAAGCAGCTCTTAAATTATAATACTCAAGAGAAACGATCACTATTCCACATACACTACCCAGTGTCTACATAAAAGAATGTCTATGGCTAAATGACACAGTAGAAATAGCGCTTGTTGCCTGGAAATTCAGCTTATAATTAAAGACTTGTCTTTATTTTGTTTTCCCTGAAGAGCTAAAACCATCTTCAAAATACAGTAAGGGCCACTCTAAAATGCATATTGCTGGAGAACGTTTATGTATCTGAATGAACACTGTCATGAAAACACCCCAGGTGAGGTAGGAGAAATGGTGAAGAAGAATCACAAGAAAAGGAGGAGATGAACATAGAGATTCCAAAAATATGTCCAAGTAAAGCTATCAGTGGCTTCTCAAGTTTTCCTCAGGCCAAAGTTCCTTCATTTCTCAAATGGAGAAATGGAATAGTTTTTCTTTGACTTATAAATATTCTGAGGATGCAGGTTATTTGTGTAATGGCTCCCATTAAGATTCTTTCAATATGTCTTTCTGCTTGATTTTCATATAAGTGTGCCAACAGTACTACAGAAAGCTTCACAAAATTAAAATATTGTTACAGCTAAATGTTACAGGTATTACATTATAATTCATGATAAAAGGTTACTCATTAGTTCAAGTTTCTGTTAGCATAATCTTTCTGCCTTCATGAATAAGAAGTAACAATGTTTTTTGGTTTTCTAATAGTGAGTTAATTGTTCATTTTCCTAATATTAGCCCTTAAAAAAATGTAAAGAGTAGAGTGACAATATTGCTTCCTCCCTAGTTAAATAGAATAAGGACAGGGGCACCTGGGTGGCTCAGTCGGTTGAGCGTCCGACTTTGGCTCAGGTCATGATCTCGCCATTTGTGGGTTTGAGCCCCGCATCAGGCTCTGTGCTGACAGCTCGGAGCCTGGAGCCTGCTTTGAATTCTGTGTCTCCCTCTCTCTCTGTACCTGCCCCCCTCACACTCTGTCTCTGACTCCTTCCAAAATAAGTAAACGTTAAAAAATTTTTCAGTAGAATAAGGACAGAATGGCTACAAAGTTAGAGAAACTGGGTTCCAGATCCATCTTCTGTGTGCATATATGTTATTAATAAAGCAATTTCTTCTTTTTTTTTTTAATTTTTTTTTCAACGTTTATTTATTTTTGGGACAGAGAGAGACAGAGCATGAACGGGGGAGGGGCAGAGAGAGAGGGAGACACAGAATCGGAAACAGGCTCCAGGCTCCGAGCCATCAGCCCAGAGCCCGACGCGGGGCTCGAACTCACGGACCGCGAGATCGTGACCTGGCTGAAGTCGGACGCTTAACCGACTGCGCCACCCAGGCGCCCCTAAAGCAATTTCTTCTTACTGAACTTGTTTCCTAGCTGTAAGGTGGCGAAAATAATAATTAAACCTATCTCTAAGGATGTTGTGAGACTCGAATAGGATAGTATATGTGATCATACGTGAATACATTATTTAAGTGCAGGTTTTATCACAATAATCATCTTCAAATTTTTAAGACTTTGCTTATGAGGATATATGACCGGTATCCACCCATCCACTCCAAAAATACCAAAGGCTCTGAGGTTTTCTATTATTCTTCAGATATTTGCTTGCAATCCATGATACCAGTATAGATCTTTAAATATCCACGTATTATATTAACATTAAAAGCCATTAAAAAGAAGGAATATACTATAACATAGAGATGTCATTGGATATTGAAAGTTTAGGAAACCAAAGGTAACACTTTAATGTAACCTGATGATTTCTGTCTCCTCCTTCTCCTCAGGCATCTTTATGGTAAGATAATCTGGCATATAAGTGAATCCCACCGGCTCACAACTTTGTAAGGCGCTGAAGAGGATGAAGCTCCTTTTCCCTGGAAGACCAGTGTGTTTTTTTACAGAATGTCTAAAGGTGTGGACCTGGGGAAGATTTAAAAGGGCTGTGGGGAGAAGATGGGACTGAGTGGGCCCTGGGGTCTGGAGAGAGAAAGTTATACAGGACCCTCGTTTCAACAGCTAAGTCCGGAAGAGCTTCTGCATAATCTAAGGGAGCAAGTAATTTAGATTGAACTTCCACATAATCTCCACACTGTACTTTTCTGAGATTTCCCTAACCATCCAATGGAGGTTCTTCTGTAACTGGTCTGAGGAGGACAGAGGTCCAGGGAGGCCTGGAGAAGAGACAGACCTTACCTGTCTCTAATTTTCTCCAGAAAAGCAGTGACCACAAATGTGTCCACCCACACTCCTTGTGAGTGTCACTAGGCAGAAGCACCACCAACCACATGTGATCGGCCCCCCTCATATCTTAAACTTGATCTTGAACCATTCTCCTCTTGACCTACTGTGTTCTAGACATACCAACCTCCTGTTCCTTCTTAAAAAAACGAGATCCTTCCCATCTCGGAACTTCTACGTTTTCTGTTTTCTCAGCCCCAAACACTCTCTTTCACTATTCTTTACATAGTCTGTTTCTCCTCATTCATGAATTCTAAACAGATACATAGGCAGACTAGAGTGAGATCAGTAGTAGCCCCATGATTAACACCACGTGGTATAAAATAGAGTTGGCATTAACACTGACAAGAGAGGATGGACCGGTAAATAAGTGGTAGTAGGATATTTAGCCATAGAATTTGGAGAAAAATATTAGTTTCTAAAAATAAGTTCAGATGAATTAATACCAATATCCAAAATACACACATTAGAGAACGGAAAAATATATTTTTAAACTTAGAATCTTCTGAAACCAATACAAATCCTAAAATCCTTAATTACTCTATAAAAATTAAAATCCTTTTACAAAAAAAAGCATAGAAGTTAAAATGTCAGTGGCAGACCTGGAGAAAATATTTGTAACATAGAATTCAACAACCTTTCTTAATGTTCCCCTAAGCTTCTTCCTGATTCTAGGCCCTGACTTACTTGTTTTAGAGCATTTTCTTTAGAAAGCTTGTAAGTGCTTTCTGTGCCCCTTTGAGATATATGTAAATCTTTTTTTTCCCAGTATTTTTTTATGGTGGTAAAATACACATAACATCAAATTTGCCATCTTTACTATTTTAAGTGTACGATGAAGTGCTATTAAATATATTCATGATGTTGTGCAACCATCATCATCATCATCATATCCAACCCTTTTAATCTTGTGAAGATGAAACTCTGCACCCCAGACACTGACAACCACCATTCTACTTTTTTCTCTAGGATTTTGACTACGCTGAGTACCTCACATAAGTGGGAACGTACAGAATTTGTCTTTTTGTGACTCACTTGTACTTAGCATAATGTCATCAGGTTTTATCCATGTTACAACATATGTCAGAGTGTCCTTACTTTTTAAAGCTGAATAAAATTCCATTGTATGTGTATACACATTTTGCTCATCCTTTCAACTCTTGATGGACACTTGGGCTGCTTCCACATTTTCGCCATTGTGAATAATGCTGCTGTGAACATGAGTGTGCAAATATCTCTTCGAGAACCTGATTTCACTTCTTTTGGGTATATACCCAGAAGTGGAATTTTGAACCAGATGTAATTCTATTTTTAACTTTTTGAGGCACCACCATACTGCCTCTCCCTGAGAATACATGGTCACTTCCTAACTTTCCCCATAAATGCAACTGGTTTTGAATGTTCCAGTCTTTAATGTCTGGCTCCCCAAATGGGGGACAGGTAAAGACAATGAGGAAGAAGGGCACTGGCCCTTTAAATCTCCCAGAAGTTCAGTTGGGGTGGGGCGGGGGTGGGGGAGCGGGTCATAATAATGGCTGAAATGCAACAATGACCACAGCTTTTTTTTTGTCTGTACCTTTGTAACTGGAAGCTGCAGCCCGCAATTAAAGGATAGATCCAACTATTTGGAGAATAGGGTGCATTTTGTACATTCTGGTCTCCACAAGCTGTGTGTATGGAGTGGGTGCATAGCTGTGTGCCATGAGTAGGGCTAGGGCTAGGTAGCTGCTGCAGTGATAAGAGATGGGATTAAGCAAAATAAACCTTGATTTACCAATCATATCTTCCCCTAGAAGTGTCAGCAATCAGTAGGCTCTAAATTTCCGAAGCAGTTACACAGATAGATTGTGCCAGTGCAGTTATTGTCTAGCTGGTGAGATAGATGCCTGGTGCTTCCTACTCTGCCATCTTCCTATAATCTTCTCTGTAAAAATTTTAAAACATCTCTTGACAGCTTTATGACCCAAGAATACCTTTCTCAAGGACCCAGGAGCTACTTCTTCGAAATGCAATCTTCAAGCGAGACAGAACCCCATGTGTATCTCCAGTTTCTTTGGGAAGGTATGAGTCTCCCTCCTGTCAGAGCTCTATGAGAAAGCTTACTTTCTCCTGGGTAAAGCTAGTTAGTAAACACAGATGACCTGCGTTCTCTGTCTCACCCCCATACTTAGAACTTCCCTGCCCTTCAATTCCACAGAGTTGAGTTCATTCAGAGTTCTGGCCTCTACCCTATTGAAATGGCCTTGAATAAAGTCTTCCTTGTGTGTTTATTTTTGTCTGGTGCAATTTTCGCTTTGACACCAGAAAATGTAAAGAGCTAACACAGGTCAGGGGAAAAAGAAAAAAAGATAGCCAAGTTTTCAGTGGTGAAATAAATAATATATTCACATAAGAAAAATCTAAAATGGTCAAATAAACATATGAAATAATTCTTTAACCAATTTTTATATAAAAAAAACCCAAATATAACAATAATAAAATGTCAAACTTTAGCCAGTGTCCAGGCTTGGCAAGGGCATAAACAGAGGGAAATTCTCATAAATTACTTGTAGGAGTAGATTCTTAGTGTATATGTGTGTGTTTTAGCATCCAACAGCATGATAAATGGTTCTCCACCCCTTCACTTTCAATCTGCAGGTATCCACAGGTCTAAAATGAGTCTCTTGTAGATAGCATGTAGATGCATCTTGTTTTTTGTTTTTGTTTTTAATCTATTCTGATACCCTGTCTTTTGATTGGGCCATTTAGTTCATTTACATTCAGAGTGATTATTGAAAGATACGAACTTAGTTTCACTGTGTTATCTGTAGGTTTTGTGTTTGTGGCAATGTCTCTGGTCCTTTGTAGTCTTTGCTGCTTTCCACTCACAGAGCAGAAGGAAGCAGAGGATCTCCTGCAGGGCTGGTTTAGTGGTCATGAACTCCTTTAGCTTCAGTTTGTCTGGGAAAGACTTTATCTCTCCTTCTATTCTGAACGACACCCTTGTGGGATAAAGGACTCTTGGCTGCATATTTTTCCTATTCAGCACATTGAATATTTCCTGCCAGTCTCTTCTGGCCTGTAAAGTTTCAGTGGACAGGTCTACTACTACCCTTATGTGTCTACCTTTGTAAGTCAAGACCTGTTTGTCCCTAGCTGCTCTCAGAATTCTCTCTTGATCTTTGTATTTTGCCAGTTTCACTATGATATGTCATGGTGTTTACCTGTTTTTGTTGATTTTGAAAGGAGTTCTGTATGCCTCTTAGACTTGGATGTCTCTTTCCTTCCCCAGATTAGGAAAGCTCTCAGCTATAATTTGTTCAAATAAACCTTCTGGCTCATTCTGTCTTCTTTTTCTGGAATGCCTATGATATGGATATTATTTCATTTCATTGAATCACTTAGGTCTCTAATTCTCCCCTCGAGGTCTAGTAATTTCCTTTCCTTCTTTTTTTCTTTTTCAGCTTCATCATTTTCCATAATTTTATCTTCTATTTCACCTATTCTTTCCTCTGCTTCTTCCATCCTTGCTGTCGCTGCACCTACACCTAGTTTATTTTACACCTATTTACAACATTTCTTAATTCATCGTGACTATTTCTTAGGTATTTGATCTCCACAGCAATAGAGTCTCTGCTATCTTCTATGCTTTTTTCAAATCCAGCTATTAGTCTTAAGATTGTTATTCTAAATTGTTCAGATATATTGTTTATATCTGTTTTGACCAATTCTCTGGCTGTCCTTTCTTCCTGGAATTTCTTTTGAAGAGAATTCTTCCATTTTGTCATTTTGGCCTGGTTTGTGTCTTTTATGTGTTTTAATAGCTTGCTATGTATCCTGCACCTGTGAGAACTACTATATTAAAAAGGGGTCATACACTGTCCAGGACCTGGCACTTCAGGAAGTGTTTTTGGAGTGTGTTGCATGCACTCTCTTTTTGCATATTTGGCTGCCCTCTCCCACTGGTCAGTCCTCTGAAAATCTCCTCCTTACTCATAGTGGTGGATTGTTTGTATCTTCCACCAGGTGTGATTTGATTTGTTCATTGAAATAACCACGGAAAAAAAAGAAAGGGGGGGGGGGGGACATTATCCCATACAAAGAGAAAGATGAAAGGGGTGAAAAAAAAAGACCAGACAGAGAATCAAAGAAACTATAAGGCTTAAGCCAGAGAGAGAGAGAGAGAGAGACAGAGACAGAGAGACAGAGAGAAATAAAGAAGAAAGATACAGAAGAGGTGTTAAAAGAATAAAAATCCCTGATTAAACAAACAACCAGAACAGAGAAAGAAAAAAAATATATATATATGATATATATATATATATATCATATATATATAAATTTATATATAGATAAATAGATATAATAGCCTTATATGTAGATATCTATATAAACTTATATATTGATATATAGATATTTATATATAGATACATGTATATATGTGTGTGTGTATATATATATATATATATATATACACAGTGTGTGTATATATAGATATAGATATATAGATACAGATATAGAAATACAATAAGAATTGATCAAAAATCAAATCAGAAACTATGAGCCTGATTCCAAAGGTTGGGGGGGAAGAGGAGGGTAGAAAGAAACAGAAGGGAAAAGAGAACAGAAGGGAAGAAAATAAAAAGCAAAACCAAATAATATAAACATACAAAATCTCAGACAGTTGTCTGTTGGTGCCTGGGATCGGTGGCTGTGCTGGTCTGGAGGAGGCGAGGCCATCTGGCTTGCTCAGTGTAAATTACCAGGAACAGACGGGCAGGGTTGGGTGTAAGTGGGTCCCACTTCCACTGGGGGCCGCTGTTCTCTTCTGGTGTTGGTGTTGGGGAGGAAAATGGTGACACTCCAATTTCTCTTCCCCAGACTTGGTGTTTCAAACCAGCTGTTCAGGCAGTCCTCACAGAGTAGTGCAGGTGGTCAGCTTGCCCTGCTCCACTGTCTCCCTCACCACCTAGGCCCTTGGCTGGGATGCAAAATGCACCGTCTTAAAGGATCCCACACCACACAAATCCAGTTCTGGGGTAGCACCACTCCACCCAGTTGACAAGGGGCCTTTGGCTGGCACCTGCAGGGTCTTTTGTCCTTGGGGGGCAATATACCCTCTTCACACAGTACTCAAGGGAGGGGGTCCTATTCTCTCCCTGTGCACCTCCAAGATAACTACCTAGCCCTGGAGCTGGTGCACACACTTGGAAAGCTTTGGTCTGGACAAAGTCTCGCAACCCTGAAAACAATCCTTAGCTGTTGAGGCTGTTTGCAAAGTAGCGACTGGCTCCCTCTGTATTTCTCATCCCCAGTCTGTGGTCCGGAGAGGTTTTTCTCTTGTCCAAATACATCTGAAGGTATCCTCATGTCTAAAATGACTCTCTTGTACACCACAAATAGATGGAAAACCCAATAGACTCCACCAAAAGTCTGCTAGAACTGATACATAAATTCAGCAAAGTCGCAGGATACAAAATTAATGTACAGAAATCAGTTGCATTCTTATACACTAATAATGAAGCAACAGAAAGACAAATAAACAAACTGATCCCATTCACAATTGCACCAAGAATCATAAAATACCTAGGAATAAACCTAACCAAAGATGTACAAGATCTGTATGCTGAAAACTATAGAAAGCTTATGAAGGAAATTGAAGAAGATACAAAGAATTGGAAAAACATTCCGTGCCCATGGATTGGAAGAATAAATATTTTTGAAATGTCAATATTACCCAAAGCAATCTACACATTCAATGCAGTCCCAATCAAAATTGCACCAGCATTATTCTCAAAGCTAGAGCAAGCAATCCTAAAATTTGTATGGAACCACGAAAGGCCCCGAATGGCCAAAGTAACTTTGAAGAACAAGACCAAAGCAGGAGGCATCACAGTCCCAGACTTTAGCCTCTACTACAAAGCTGTAATTATCAAGATAGCATGGTTTTGGCACAAAAACAGACACATAGACCAATGGAATAGAATAGAGACTCCAGAATTGGACCCACAAATGTATGGCCAACTAATCTTTGACAAAGCAGGAAAGAATATCCAATGGAAAAAAAGACGGTTTCTTTAACAAATGAACTATTTGGGACATCATGAAGATAAAAAGCTTCTGCACTGCAAAGGAAACAATCAACAAAACTAAAAGGCAACCGATGGAATGGGAAAAGATATTTGCAAATGGCATATAGGACAAAGGGCTAGTATAAAATCTATAAATCTATAAAGAACTCACCAAACTCCACACCTGAAAAACAAATAATCCAGTGAAGAAATGGGCAGAAGACATGAATAGACACTTCTCTAAAGAAGACATCCAGATGGCCAACAGGCACATGAGAAGATGCTCAACATCACTCCTCATCAGGGAACTACAAATCAAAACCACACTCAGATATCACCTCACGCCAGTCAGAGTGGCTAAAATGAACAACTCAGGGGACTATAGATGCTGGAGAGGATGTGGAGAAACCAGAACCCTCTTGCACTGTTGGTGGGAATGCAAAATGGTTCACCTGCTCTGGAAAACAGTGTGGAGGTTCCTCAAAAAATTAAAAATAGATCTACCCTATGACCCAGCAATAGCACTGCTAGGAATTTACCCAAGGGATATAGGAGTGCTGATTCATAGGGACACTTGTACCCCAATGTTTATAGCAGCACTTTCAACAATAGCCAAATTATGGAAAGAGCCTAAATGTCCATCAACTGACAAATGGATAAAGAAGATGTGGATTATATATATGATGGAATACTACTTGGCAATGAGAAAGAATGAAATCTGGCCATTTGTAGCAACATGGATGGAACTGGAGAGTGTTATGCTAGGTGAAATAAGTCAGACAGAGAAAGACAGATACCATACATTTTCACTTATATGTGGGTGCTGAGAAACTCAACAGAAGACGAGAGGGGAGGATAAGGGGGGAAAAAGTTACAGAGAGGGAAGCAGGCAAACCATAAGAGACTCTTAAATCCTGAGAATAAACTGAGGGTTGAAGGGGGGTGGGAGGGAGGGGAGGGTGGGTGATGGGTATTGAGGAGGGCGCCTTTTGGGATGAGCACTGGGTGTTGTATGGAAACTAATTTGACAATAAATTACATTAAAAAAAAACAACAAATACAGTACCACACTTCCACAGCTTCTCTTTCTCCTCCTTTTGTCTCTCCACCACAGGGGTTCCTCCCCGTTGCCACCCCTCCCCATGTCTACACCGCCCATTTTCTCTCCCAGTTTGCATATATGCACCCAGCTGTCCCACCAAGCTGTCTCTTTCCACCTG